CCACTGACGCTGTTCTCTTTGAGGACCCGGGCTTTAAGGTGTGTGATGGGCTTTAAGGTGCGCATGTGTGATGGGCTTTAAGGTGCGCATGTGTGATGGGCTTTAAGGTGCGCATGTGTGATGGGCTTTAAGGTGCGCATGTGTGATGGGCTTTAAGGTGCGCATGTGTGATGGGCTTTAAGGTGCGCATGTGTGATGGGCTTTAAGGTGTGCATGTGTGATGGGCTTTAAGGTGCGCATGTGTGATGGGCTTTAAGGTGCGCATGTGTGATGGGCTTTAAGGTGCACATGTGTGATGGGCTTTAAGGTGCGCATGTGTGATGGGCTTTAAGGTGCGCATGTGTGATGGGCTTTAAGGTGCGCATGTGTGATGGGCTTTAAGGTGCGCATGTGCGATGAGCTTCAAGGTACAGTGGGTGGTCGAGCTTTGAGGTGCTTTGGGTTGAGGACCTGGGCTTTAAGCTGTGCCTGGTGGCATGCATGGCTTTCAGGGTGCATATGCTGCGGCACAAGATGCTGCTCTTTATAAGGTCCCGGGCTTTAAAGTGCATTCATCTGATTGTGCTTGTGTTGCTGCATGGACTGTTGCCTGATTCATTTTCAATGCCATATTTCAGTCTCAGTTACCTGCTTGTTCCAGAAACATCTTTTGATGCCCCCCTCTTCCTCAGGTCTACGCAGAGAAGTATACAGCAGACCAGGCGGCATTCTTTAAAGACTATGCCGCGGCGCACAAGGCACTGAGCAAGCTGGGGGGCAATTTTGACCCTTCCATGCCTCCCCTCTTGCTCACCTCTCTCTCTTATATTCTCGCTTGTCACATCAGGTCTACGCAGAGAAGTATGCAGCAGACCAGGCGGCATTCTTCAAAGACTATGCCGCGGCGCACAAGGCACTGAGCGAGCTGGGAGCCAAGTTCGACCCTCCCCAGGGAGTCACTCTGGAGGCAGAGGCCCCTCGCCCCGTGAAGTTTGTGGCATCTGATTACTCCTCCGGGAATGTGAGTAGATGGCTTGGGGGGAGGGGGCTGGGATGCAGGGCAATGGGAATGAAAGTCCGGGGACCAAGTTCGACCCGCCCCAGGAGGTGACTTCAGAGTCAGAGGGCCCTCGCTGGGTGAAGTTCGTGGCAGCCGAATTTTCGTCTGGGAGTGTGAGTAGCTGGGGGAGGGGAGTGGGGGGGAGGGAGGGAAGGGAGGGCGAAGCGTAGTGTTTGTGGGAAAAAAGGCCACGAACAGACAACGTATTTTATTGTTCCCATTTGTCTTGCACCTCCTCCATTCCCTTGCACCCCCACTCCTTCCCACCCCTTGGCACCCGTCCAGACCCAGACGGAGATGTCGAGTGCCATGAAGAAGAAGCTACGAGACGAATACATCGGGCTGGGCGGCAGTCCCGACCGCCCGCTGCAGACGAACTACTTCCTGTATATCATGATTGGAGTGGCCGTGCTTGCCATCCTTACCAAGCTCACAGGAGCTATTTGACATTAGAGCTCTATGACATGATTATCAACTAGTCGTTTCATGTATCGAGCCCACGTGCTATTTTGTGACAAAGGCCCATCACGGTGCTCCTAGTTATCCATGTACGGTATTGCCAATGGCCACACAATGCTGTGGTTCCTATACAAGATTGCTAAAGCCTACCGTCTTTTCCAAACGACTCCATATCTATTCTACCAAAAAGCCGAGAGATGCTCCAGAAGCAAAGATGATTGCAGGATGTAGAAGTAAGTTATGTGTATGGCAGTGCAGATTTGAAGTGTATATAGTGCAGAACAGATATAGGACATACGGTCTTGCCATATTTGATTGGTCACAGGACAACAACGATCGGGTTAGCGAAGCTCTCTGCTGGAGCAGATGCCAGTGGAGCCATGGTTTCAATTCACCTGGAACGGAGCATTGCTGGAGATATGGAGTATGGATTGGGCAGGAGTCAATCGGGCTGTCGAAAATCCTGGCAGAGTGGACACGAAATGTTTTGCTGGCGAGCTGCGCTGCGAAACGAATCAAAAACCATTGACCCAAGTCTCTGATTGAAGGGACCGCTGGTTACGGGGCTTCCACATCGACGGTACTTTCGCGAAACATGTCGCCGACCACGTCGTCAACGCCGCACATGGCTTCAGGTGGGAAATGGGAGCGAGTGGGAACTCTTTCCCCTGACCAAACGACAAATTTCTCGCCCCGCGCTGAGGAATCCTGGCGCAACATGCGTCAACTCGCTCCAGCCATCTGCGTACAGATGGCGGAACGCGAACCAGCTGCTGCTGATTGGAGCCTGAGAGTGTGTAGCAAGGCTGTATGGGGGCTCGAGGAAGAGCCTGATAGGAAATTAATATGACCTGGCATCCAACCAATCAGGAGCCGAATCAGGTTACCCCTCCGTACGCGCGTCTCGGGTTCCCACATGCAACGCAGGTTGCGTTTTCTCCGGGCCAGGGGCCCCATGTTGTTTCGGACCGCCTGGTTTGGCGGCGAAAAGATTGGCGAAAGGTGTGGACTGTTGCGAAGAAAGCTTTGCCGAGGCGCAGTGGTGCACGAGTCGCCATGGGGTGCATGGGAGATCGGAGGGGAGTGTGACACACGACCAGGAGGCACCAGGGCGACAGACTGGCGAAAGCAGACTGGCGAAGACCATGGGATGGGATGTATGGATCTCCTGGTTGGTGGGTCACTGGACTGGTGGTGTGCTCCCTAGGCCCCAGCCAGGAGGAAATGCCATGCAGTCGCAAGTGCAAGTGCAGGATTGCACAGTTTGCCTTGCACCGCAAGTACATATCTGAACCCTAAACGCACATTGGAAATCCATTGAACAGCAGCAGCACAAACATCGCCGCTGATCACGAAACCCACAAAAGCATATACTCTTCCGTGCGAAACACCTTCACCTGATAACGCGTTCCACTGACCAGCAGCACGCTAACACAAGCAGATCGAAACCAGCTTAGCCGCCCTTCGTCGCGAACACCTCGAGTTATATATCAGTGTCGCCGATTAGTACGCAGCAGACCAGTTCTCTACTACCTTCAGTTTCCTGACCGATTTCTTATCGTAGAATCCATAAATCTTAAAGTTATTTATCGAAGCCATGGCCGCCAAGCAGTGGGGTTGGGCTGACTCTCTGAAGCAGGCAGCAGCGATTAAATCCGTCCCGAAAGAGTGGGCTCCGCACGTCAAGGAAACCCGCCCTTGGCCCGCACCTGCCGCGGTGCCGTGGGCTGCTGCCCCAAATCCCTTCCAGTCCTGCCACGTGTTCGAGCAAGAGTTTCAACTGCCCGTCGCAGCGAGCCCCGCGACCACCCGCGCCAGCAGTTTCGACAGCACCGATCGCATCGCTGCAGCCGCCGCTGCCGCTCCCGTGCCGTTCCCCCAGTCGCAGTGGCCCACAGCGGAATTCTTCGCCCGCGCGGGTTCCGCGGAGTGCGCGCAAGAGGGGCAAGGGGAAGTATGCATGGAGGCGGTGGCGACGTCTGACATGCGCGGGGGGGAGGAGACATTCCGCGCCGTGCCGCTTGCGCAAAGCCCCTTCCATTTCTTCATTCGCGAGGATGCGGCCGCGATGGGTGAAATGGAGTGGGAGATAGCTTCGCCAATTACCACACTGAAGCGCGCCGATTCTTTTGCCAGCAGTAGCAGCAGCGCCTCCCTCGACGCGTTCGCTCTGCCGCCCGCCGATGTCGCCATGCCGTCGCACAGCGGCGACGACAGCGGCTGCGACTTGAGTCTGTCGCTGAGATTGCCTGCTGCATTTTAAGTTTTCTCGGCGTGGTCTTACTTGTAACGATGGGTGCGTTGGGGTTACCTGTACGTGATGTGGAGCAAGAACGTCGGTATCGGCCAAACGAGCAGCAGTGCCTGCCGTGAGTGGCCACCTGCCTCCGTAATAAGTGGTTGGGAGACTACAAGGGGATTAATAAGTAGTCCAGATACTGCATTTGGCTTGGCTCGTCTCAATGACGGCGTTCCAAACAGAGAGCACAGCTTGGTGAATTCAGCTGTCTTGTGTGAAGTTTCCTGTCAGTGATACAATATTTATACAATTTTTATCCAGATACGTCATAAATTCTTTATATTCCTGCTTTGCAGCGTTTATCCTTCTGAAACTCGGTATTAACAAACGAACAGATGAAGCAATATAGATCTGCGAGGTGAATATGTAAATATGAAGTGATGCATGTTGTGGATTCCCTGTCACGCAAGTATGACTCCGTTTGCTAGGACAAGATGCTTTGCCATGCTTGCTGTTGATGCTTGCATAGGTACTCATTACATTAGCTTCATATCAGAGGTACCGTAAATCAGGCGTTCGTCGCTGTGTTGTCCTTCATAGCTTGGAATTGTACCTCACTAGGCAAAAGAGGTGGGAGAGAGTACGGTATGAGTGAGATTGATTCGCGAATGATGATCGGTATCAGGCGACGTGGTTACCTCACCCTGCCCGTAGGTTCGGGTCACAGGCGATGCGCGATGGTGGGAAGGGTGAAGCGCGGGCAACGCCCCAGAGAACAGTGAAACGCACAGATCTGTACGCGGTACTGAGAATGATGAAGTTTAAAAGTGACACATAATTTTTTAACTTCATCTGGTCACGATCCATCTGACAACAGAAATGTCTGTCAAAGGGAATACCCAACGTAGCATCTCACGGACGAGGAATACAGGTATACGCTGATGATTAATCAGGTCCATTAGTGCTATGTCCTACACAATGCCATCACAGAGAGTATGGCACGCAAGCAAAACATACAATACAGAAACGAACCCACGCCCCTGACAAGCAGGGCACTATACGAAGCACGGCCAGTGCCGCTCACACCTTATTGGTAACAAACAGGGCAAATCACCTCCGTATATACTGTACTAGCACGCCGCTTGGATGCGTACGTACTATTGAATATACTTGTATCATGCTGCCAGCCCACCGCAGCAAAGAATGTTCAGGGAGGAAGTGACTGTCCTCAGACTGAGACTAAGATCAAAGATCAAGCGTGCCTTAGACTAAGCGTTGGCGCTTAGCCAAGTGCAGATGCTCCTCCTCATAGCTGTGGGAGTCCCACTGGTGCAGACCGTCCATATCCTCATGCGAAATCCATGCTGGCACTCCCATGCACAGATCCGCCACGTCAGCATGCCACATGGGCGCCAGGTCACCGTCTCCTGTAGCAACCACTTGACTGTTCGCCGTAGGGCAATCATTGGGCCCGTTATTTTCCACCGCTGCAACTCCACTGCTGTTTTCAACTGGGTCTGCGACTTCCGAATCCGGAGCACCTGAAGAACCACCTGAAGCCGGCTCCCAGGGTGCAAGCAGGGACTGCCAGTCAATATCCTGTGCGGCTAGCTCCTCCAGGGACTCCCCTTCCTCCGCGCATTTCACCCCTCCGGTCTGCGCCGCGCCCCGCAAGTCATGGGCGGCGGAGAGAAACAAACCCGCGCAGCCCTCCATCCCCCCATCTCCAGACAGCTTCCCCTTCGCATCCGCCACGTCTTGCGGAATCACCTGAGGTTTCACCTGATCGCACTCGTCAAGGTCGCCTGCCAGGAAGGCGAGCGGACAGAAGGCGTCTTCCGGCGAGTCGTTGCCTCCGCGCACGGAATGCGCCTCAGGCGGAGACAAGGGCTGCGCGGGCGCGTGCACTGGCGCATGCGCCGGCACATGCGCGGGCGCATTGCCAGCCTGTGCGACTGGCGGAGGCGGGGCGATCGGGCTGCACTGCGATCCGCCGAACGGGGATGGGGCTGAGGCGGAGCAGGACGTTCGGGGGAAGGACGGTCGGGCCAGGAACGGCGCGGGCGCTTCCGCCGGCGCCTGCACCACCGCCGGAGCAGGTGGCGAGGATGCGGGCGCGCGGGGAAGCTGTTGCGCCTTCCGCCATTGCCCGACCAGCTGCTCCGCGATCCTATTGGCCGGGGACGCGGAAAAAGGCGGGGGAGGCGCAATGGAGGAGGATGCGGAAGATGCAAGTTGGAAACCGGCAGACATATCAGTGAACGGTTTATTGCTTGGTGCCCGAGCCGCAGCCGCATTGCCGCTTGCCGCCCCACCCGCCGCAAGAGCCGGCGCAAGAACATTCGTCAACCAATCATTGAGCGCCGTCTCCACCTCCGCCGCGGATGGCGACGCGGCGGCAGCAGCTGCAGGGGGAGAAACGGGTCTTTTTGCGCGTCGAGCGAGAGCTGCTTTGCGCGAAGAGGAGAGGTGAACGGCGGGGACATCCGCTGCGCCATTCGCGGCACTCGGCGGAAGAAGCAAGGGCGACACCGCCGTGAAGGCCGGCGGCGCTCCGCTGGCTCCCCGCGGGGTCTCGACCGCCGCGCCCAACCACGAAGCGCTCCGCGGACTCGCGGCTTCCGCCGCCGCCGCCCCACGCCCGCTATAGGAGCAACTACCCGTCGAAGGACTGGCTAGTGGCGGAACTTGCATCGGTGCTGCATGTCTGGCGCGGCGTGAGCTTGCGCGGCGGGCGGGGGTGGGGGCTTGCGCGGAGAGCTGCGCGGATGGCTGCGCGGAAAGCGAGACGGAGAGCTTTTTCGCCGCAGCGAAAGGCTTGCATCCGTTGGTAACCGTCACGGCACTGTCGCCCTCCGACGTGGACGACGAGGGGGTGGCGGGGGAGAGCGCCCACGGCGCGGGGCACGCGGGGAGAGAGTTGGCGGAAAGCCCGCCACCGGCGGAAAGCCCGCTGCTTTCCGTCGCCGCGCAGTCGGGGCTCCACTGGTGGTGCGCGGATGAGCGGATCTTGGCCGCCTGGCGCAACGCTTTGGCCCAATCGAGCGCCATGTGATTCGAACTGACGGAATGCCAATTGACGGAATCCCGTTGCAACACCGACTCGGTAGCTGGCGCACCTCAGCGTTGACAGTGTTCGAAGGAAAATGGCTGGGCTGTGGATGCAGAGTGGCTAGATGATCATTAGCAGCAATCTTTGCTGTGCTTCAATGGCGGATCCAAGTCATTCCGATACAAGGTTGCGAGATTAGCTGGTCGCAACACCGCCGCTCCACCATGTATCCAGGAGGAGTGGATAGGGGAAGAGAGAAGGTCGACGATCGCGAGAATCGAGAAGTGGTTGATGAGTGGAATTGGGTCAGGTCAGGTAGTGCGTGGACTATGGTGAATGGCAAGGTAGGGCAGACCGAACAAGAGCTTGCAGCCTAGCGCTGGCTTAGAAAAAGTGCCCGGGAGGAAGGAAGAGAAGGTGCAAGCTCGGATTGGTGGGAGGAGGCAAGGCAAGAGAGCAAGAGCGAGGGTGAGGGAGCGGAAATGCATGGCTGACGGGTAGGGGCAAGGGGTTACTGTGGTCAAAACTGGCTGCCCTGGGAATTTGGTTCGCTGGATTTGGTTGGTCCGCGCTGGCAAGGAGCCCCCATCGCCGACGGGCAAACACCCCCACTTCCGCCTTCCGCCAGTCGCGGATGCGCCTCCTTTGGAGGATTTTCCCCACCCCAGGTTGAGCTAACACAAACGCGGTTCATCGGAGCTGGGGAAATTTCAGGGGTTTCCCCAGAGGAGCTCTCTTGCGGGGAGAGCGCTAAGATGACGGTAGTGCTGGAAACGACAAAGCGGCAAACTCTTGTCTGAGCCCTGGGTTTTGGCGCTCGCGACTGCGCGGAGACCTGGTTTGGTTTCGGTTCGGGCAGGGCATGGCGGACGCTGCAGTGTTCTCACGGATGCCTCGATTCTTGAAGCGGAAAAACCCGCCTTCCTCCAATGGACGTCGATCTTGACATCGAACTTGACGTCAACCTTGTGTTGGCAGAGGATCTCGGGCAGGAAACATCGTGAGTACATAACTTGTATACTAAAATATACTGTGGCTGAGTTGGGCTTGGGAGTGGCAGAGCTGGAAACAGTGAATTATATCTGTTCAACGCTGCATATTTGAACTCATTCCCTCCTCATTCCGTCCCAGCAGGGTGCTTTATGAGTAGAACCAGAACCTTCTGGGTGGACCTGCGCACAGGCCTGATTAAATAAAAGTTTCAAATGTTGAATGGAACAAGGGAGGCAGGTGCCGGACAGTATGCAGAGCTGCTACTCGGCCAAAATACTTGGACAATCGGAAATGGCTATGGTGGAGATGGGCAAGAGTCAGGACCATGCCGAGAACTGTGGAGCGCAAAGAATCCATGCGGGCAACCAGATGCCTAGGGCCTTGGAAAGTAGCCCATTGGCGGATGTCTTCTGTTCTTGAAACCTAGATCTACGGACACGATAGCGTGTTCGCTAGGACAGCAGCATTGCGTGGCACGGGATGCAGTCAAACCGAGGCTGAATAGTTGCTTCGATAAAGGACATGTTGATGTGGCGCACGCTGGTTCCGCGTTAACTTTCGGGCAGCAAGGGCGAAGTGGATTTTTCTGCCCTCGATTCCCGGAGAGGGCAACAAGATCCCCGAGTGCAATGAGGCAGCGCGGATCCTTCGTGAAGACTGTAGACCAGCCAAGCATGTTCTGCCCTGTCCAGAAAAGGGGCATTTATGATTTCGCATGCGTCACGCAAAACAGTTGCGGGCCTGCGGGACTAGCTCAGGCTCCCTGTCAGGGATCTCCTCAGGTGAAGCAGTACAGAGACCCGCAATGTAAAAATCGGCGGTGCACAATCATTTGCAGGGATGGTGCTTGCGTGGCGGCACCAGCGAGAAACTACCACCCCACTTGCACACCACGAACCAGCACAAACAACCACAACTGGAAGTGAAGTAACGACTTGTACACTTTAACCGAACATCGATGGCTACACCAGCTACAAGTCTATATACTGCTCTAAAAAATGGCATGAAGGTATCTTAGCATCCTTGTCCACACCACCATGCATGGAGTTTCCTTGCGCTCATACGTCCAATTAAATCCACAAAATACACGGGAGGCTTGGAAAATATAGAGATACATGCAAAAGCGAATGATTCACAACCTAAAACTCATCATCCATGTAATCATCCACTTGACTATCCAACAGCTCAGGGGAATAAAGCTTCACCACTGGCATGCGAGCCGTCCTCATCCAATCAAAGTCCTTCACCAAAAGCAACCCAAACGCAAGCAGCAGCATCAGCAGCACCAATCCTGGTCCATACGTAAGCAGCGCCGTTCTTTTCACGGGGGTAAATGCCCCTAGGAGCTCCGATTCCTCCTCATCCCCTCCCATTCCATCCCCTTCAACACCATCACCATTATCATGCCCCTCTTCATTGTCACTTTGGCTACTGTCACTGTCGGCAGAAGCACCTGTATCCCCAGACAGAGCGGCTGCTGCCTTCCGCGCCGCCCGCTGCACAGCTCTGCTCGTTGCCTGCGACAACACCGGTGGGTTACCACCATCCCTACCACCACCACTTGCAGCACCACTACCAGCAGCACCAGTTGCCACAGAGTCACCAGTAACAGCAGCAGCAGCAGCATCAGCAGAGGGGTGGGGGTCGTGAGCCGTCAGACTGCCTGGCTTGCGGTCGAACCATCCGCCCAGCTCTCTGCGCTGCCGACCCTCCGCCTCCTGTAAGGGGGAGGGGTAAGCAGGAAGGAGGTGGGGCGGAGGGGGAAGGTGCTGTGAGGGTTGCACTCGTAGAACCAGCAGCACCAGCAGCAGCAGCACTAGCAGGCGAGGGGTCGTGAGCTGTCAGACTGCCCGGCTTGCAATCAAACCACCCGCCCAGCTCTCTGCGCTGCCAAGACTCTGCCTCCTGAAGGTGTAGGGAGGAGGGGCAGGGACGACGGGAAGCGGGGTAGGGAGGGGGGATTGGTCATGAGCTGTCAGACTGCCCGGCTTGCAATCAAATCACCCGCCCAGCTCTCTGCGCTGCCGGGACCCTGCCTCCTGCAGCCCAAGAGAGGGAGGGCAGGTACGAGGGAGGCGGGATGGGGTAGTCACGAGAGGAATGGAAAAGGAGCGGAAGGAAGGGCGGTGATGTGAGCACCAGGGTTAGACAGGAATGGGGCCTCCATGGCTGTCGTGAACGCACTTGTTGGTCGAACCTCTCACCTCTTCCAAGCCTCGCACCTCTTCCAAGCCTCGCACCTCTTCCAAGCCTCTCACCTCTTCCAAGCCTCTCACCTCTTCCAAGCCTCTCACCTCTTCCGAGCCTCTCACCTCTTCCGAGCCTCTCACCTCTTCCGAGCCTCTCACCTCTTCCGAGCCTCTCACCTCTTCCGAGACTCTCACCTCTTCCGAGCCTCTCACATCTTCCGAGCCTCTCTCCTCTTCCGAGCCTCTCAGTGAAGCCGAGCCTCTCGCCTCTCAGCTGAGCTTTCAACCTTTGCCAAGCCTCTCGCATTCCAAGCATCGCATTTCAGTCAAGCCTCTAAAATCAGCTGGTTCTCACCTCTGCCGAACCTCTCACCTCTGCCGAGCCTCTCACCTCTGCCGAACCTCTCACCTCTGTCGAACCTCTCACCTCTGTCGAACCTCTCACCTCTGCCGAACCTCTCACCTCTGTCGAACCTCTCACCTCTTCCATCTTCTTGAGCTTGGCGAGAGCAGCAGTGGCATCTGCCTGTGTGGATGGGTCTGCCTTAACCATCTGTAGCACAGCACAGCACAGCACAGCACATGGCAGATATACCATGAAGTCGATAAAACAGGAAAACAATATTGTGTAACGAGAAAAGCAGAAATATAAAAATATCAGAATAGAGACCACAAAAGGTAAACTTTGACATGCCTCAGAACAGAAAGCTGCTGTTTTCGGTAATGAGGAGGTTCCTCGGTGACAAGTTACAGAACACTGCATACTCGTTTCAAGCCCTTATTGCGGCGGACACCTCATACCTGTTGGAGGTGAGCCCTGGCTTCGTCAAAGGCAGCGGAGTGCATGTGAGCCAACCCTCTTGTGACAAGAATCGACTATAAGGCAGCCCGAGGCGAGCTTTTGAGTCGACTCTGAATTCGTACCCGTTGGAGGTCAGCCCTGGCTTCATCAAAGGCAGCGGAGTGGATGCGAGCTAATGCTCTCCGGTAGAGTGCTTTTGAGTGGTTGGGCTGCTCCGTGAGCACCTGGGAGTGTAAGCATGAGGGTAGAGCAAAGAGGGCAAGGCAAGTGAAGAGGTCAGGCCTGAGGGGCAGCGGAGTGGATGCGAGCTAATGCTCTCCGGTAGAGTGCTTTTGAGTGGTTGGGCTGCTCCGTGAGCACCTGGGAGTGTAAGCATGAGGGTAGAGCAAAGAGGGCAAGGCAAGTGAAGAGGTCAGGCCTGAGGGGCAGCGGAGTGGATGCGAGCTAATGCTCTCCGGTAGAGTGCTTTTGAGTGGTTGGGCTGCTCCGTGAGCACCTGGGAGTGTAAGCATGAGGGTAGAGCAAAGAGGGCAAGGCAAGTGAAGAGGTCAGGCCTGAGGGGCAGCGGAGTGGATGCGAGCTAATGCTCTCCGGTAGAGTGCTTTTGAGTGGTTGGGCTGCTCCGTGAGCACCTGGGAGTGTAAGCATGAGGGTAGAGCAAAGAGGGCAAGGCAAGTGAAGAGGTCAGGCCTGAGGGGCAGCGGAGTGGATGCGAGCTAATGCTCTCCGGTAGAGTGCTTTTGAGTGGTTGGGCTGCTCCGTGAGCACCTGGGAGTGTAAGCATGAGGGTAGAGCAAAGAGGGCAAGGCAAGTGAAGAGGTCAGGCCTGAGGGGCAGCGGAGTGGATGCGAGCTAATGCTCTCCGGTAGAGTGCTTTTGAGTGGTTGGGCTGCTCCGTGAGCACCTGGGAGTGTAAGCATGAGGGTAGAGCAAAGAGGGCAAGGCAAGTGAAGAGGTCAGGCCTGAGGGGCAGCGGAGTGGATGCGAGCTAATGCTCTCCGGTAGAGTGCTTTTGAGTGGTTGGGCTGCTCCGTGAGCACCTGGGAGTGTAAGCATGAGGGTAGAGCAAAGAGGGCAAGGCAAGTGAAGAGGTCAGGCCTGAGGGGCAGCGGAGTGGATGCGAGCTAATGCTCTCCGGTAGAGTGCTTTTGAGTGGTTGGGCTGCTCCGTGAGCACCTGGGAGTGTAAGCATGAGGGTAGAGCAAAGAGGGCAAGGCAAGTGAAGAGGTCAGGCCTGAGGGGCAGCGGAGTGGATGCGAGCTAATGCTCTCCGGTAGAGTGCTTTTGAGTGGTTGGGCTGCTCCGTGAGCACCTGGGAGTGTAAGCATGAGGGTAGAGCAAAGAGGGCAAGGCAAGTGAAGAGGTCAGGCCTGAGGGGCAGCGGAGTGGATGCGAGCTAATGCTCTCCGGTAGAGTGCTTTTGAGTGGTTGGGCTGCTCCGTGAGCACCTGGGAGTGTAAGCATGAGGGTAGAGCAAAGAGGGCAAGGCAAGTGAAGAGGTCAGGCCTGAGGGGCAGCGGAGTGGATGCGAGCTAATGCTCTCCGGTAGAGTGCTTTTGAGTGGTTGGGCTGCTCCGTGAGCACCTGGGAGTGTAAGCATGAGGGTAGAGCAAAGAGGGCAAGGCAAGTGAAGAGGTCAGGCCTGAGGGGCAGCGGAGTGGATGCGAGCTAATGCTCTCCGGTAGAGTGCTTTTGAGTGGTTGGGCTGCTCCGTGAGCACCTGGGAGTGTAAGCATGAGGGTAGAGCAAAGAGGGCAAGGCAAGTGAAGAGGTCAGGCCTGAGGGGCAGCGGAGTGGATGCGAGCTAATGCTCTCCGGTAGAGTGCTTTTGAGTGGTTGGGCTGCTCCGTGAGCACCTGGGAGTGTAAGCATGAGGGTAGAGCAAAGAGGGCAAGGCAAGTGAAGAGGTCAGGCCTGAGGGGCAGCGGAGTGGATGCGAGCTAATGCTCTCCGGTAGAGTGCTTTTGAGTGGTTGGGCTGCTCCGTGAGCACCTGGGAGTGTAAGCATGAGGGTAGAGCAAAGAGGGCAAGGCAAGTGAAGAGGTCAGGCCTGAGGGGCAGCGGAGTGGATGCGAGCTAATGCTCTCCGGTAGAGTGCTTTTGAGTGGTTGGGCTGCTCCGTGAGCACCTGGGAGTGTAAGCATGAGGGTAGAGCAAAGAGGGCAAGGCAAGTGAAGAGGTCAGGCCTGAGGGGCAGCGGAGTGGATGCGAGCTAATGCTCTCCGGTAGAGTGCTTTTGAGTGGTTGGGCTGCTCCGTGAGCACCTGGGAGTGTAAGCATGAGGGTAGAGCAAAGAGGGCAAGGCAAGTGAAGAGGTCAGGCCTGAGGGGCAGCGGAGTGGATGCGAGCTAATGCTCTCCGGTAGAGTGCTTTTGAGTGGTTGGGCTGCTCCGTGAGCACCTGGGAGTGTAAGCATGAGGGTAGAGCAAAGAGGGCAAGGCAAGTGAAGAGGTCAGGCCTGAGGGGCAGCGGAGTGGATGCGAGCTAATGCTCTCCGGTAGAGTGCTTTTGAGTGGTTGGGCTGCTCCGTGAGCACCTGGGAGTGTAAGCATGAGGGTAGAGCAAAGAGGGCAAGGCAAGTGAAGAGGTCAGGCCTGAGGGGCAGCGGAGTGGATGCGAGCTAATGCTCTCCGGTAGAGTGCTTTTGAGTGGTTGGGCTGCTCCGTGAGCACCTGGGAGTGTAAGCATGAGGGTAGAGCAAAGAGGGCAAGGCAAGTGAAGAGGTCAGGCCTGAGGGGCAGCGGAGTGGATGCGAGCTAATGCTCTCCGGTAGAGTGCTTTTGAGTGGTTGGGCTGCTCCGTGAGCACCTGGGAGTGTAAGCATGAGGGTAGAGCAAAGAGGGCAAGGCAAGTGAAGAGGTCAGGCCTGAGGGGCAGCGGAGTGGATGCGAGCTAATGCTCTCCGGTAGAGTGCTTTTGAGTGGTTGGGCTGCTCCGTGAGCACCTGGGAGTGTAAGCATGAGGGTAGAGCAAAGAGGGCAAGGCAAGTGAAGAGGTCAGGCCTGAGGGGCAGCGGAGTGGATGCGAGCTAATGCTCTCCGGTAGAGTGCTTTTGAGTGGTTGGGCTGCTCCGTGAGCACCTGGGAGTGTAAGCATGAGGGTAGAGCAAAGAGGGCAAGGCAAGTGAAGAGGTCAGGCCGGAGGGGCAGCGGAGTGGATGCGAGCTAATGCTCTCCGGTAGAGTGCTTTTGAGTGGTTGGGCTGCTCCGTGAGCACCTGGGAGGGAGGAAGAGGTGGGGCAAGGAGAGCCGGAGAGGAAAAGCAGCAGGGAGCGTGAGGAAGAGGCCGAGCACGCGATGTTTGGAGGGCCTGCGCCAGAACAAGAGCGCGTTGGCGTGGTTGGGCTGCTCTGTGAGCACCTGGGAGGAAGAGGGGTGGGCAAGAAGGGCGGGCGTGGACAGGTGTGAGGGCCAGCAGAGTGCATGCGTGCCAGTGTGAGGGCCAGCAGAGTGCATGCGTGCCAGTGTGAGGGCCAGCAGAGTGCATGCGTGCCAGTGTGAGGGCCAGCAGAGTGCATGCGTGCCAGTGTGAGGGCCAGCAGAGTGCATGCGTGCCAGTGTGAGGGCCAGCAGAGTGCATGCGTGCCAGTGTGAGGGCCAGCAGAGTGCATGCGTGCCAGTGTGAGGGCCAGCAGAGTGCATGCGTGCCAGTGTGAGGGCCAGCAGAGTGCATGCGTGCCAGTGTGAGGGCCAGCAGAGTGCATGCGTGCCAGTGTGAGGGCCAGCAGAGTGCATGCGTGCCAGTGTGAGGGCCAGCAGAGTGCATGCGTGCCAGTGTGAGGGCCAGCAGAGTGCATGCGTGCCAGTGTGAGGGCCAGCAGAGTGCATGCGTGCCAGTGTGAGGGCCAGCAGAGTGCATGCGTGCCAGTGTGAGGGCCAGCAGAGTGCATGCGTGCCAGTGTGAGGGCCAGCAGAGTGCATGCGTGCCAGTGTGAGGGCCAGCAGAGTGCATGCGTGCCAGTGTGAGGGCCAGCAGAGTGCATGCGTGCCAGTGTGAGGGCCAGCAGAGTGCATGCGTGCCAGTGTGAGGGCCAGCAGAGTGCATGCGTGCCAGTGTGAGGGCCAGCAGAGTGCATGCGTGCCAGTGTGAGGGCCAGCAGAGTGCATGCGTGCCAGTGTGAGGGCCAGCAGAGTGCATGCGTGCCAGTGTGAGGGCCAGCAGAGTGCATGCGTGCCAGTGTGAGGGCCAGCAGAGTGCATGCGTGCCAGTGTGAGGGCCAGCAGAGTGCATGCGTGCCAGTGTGAGGGCCAGCAGAGTGCATGCGTGCCAGTGTGAGGGCCAGCAGAGTGCATGCGTGCCAGTGTGAGGGCCAGCAGAGTGCATGCGTGCCAGTGTGAGGGCCAGCAGAGTGCATGCGTGCCAGTGTGAGGGCCAGCAGAGTGCATGCGTGCCAGTGTGAGGGCCAGCAGAGTGCATGCGTGCCAGTGTGAGGGCCAGCAGAGTGCATGCGTGCCAGTGTGAGGGCCAGCAGAGTGCATGCGTGCCAGTGTGAGGGCCAGCAGAGTGCATGCGTGCCAGTGTGAGGGCCAGCAGAGTGCATGCGTGCCAGTGTGAGGGCCAGCAGAGTGCATGCGTGCCAGTGTGAGGGCCAGCAGAGTGCATGCGTGCCAGTGTGAGGGCCAGCAGAGTGCATGCGTGCCAGTGTGAGGGCCAGCAGAGTGCATGCGTGCCAGTGTGAGGGCCAGCAGAGTGCATGCGTGCCAGTGTGAGGGCCAGCAGAGTGCATGCGTGCCAGTGTGAGGGCCAGCAGAGTGCATGCGTGCCAGTGTGAGGGCCAGCAGAGTGCATGCGTGCCAGTGTGAGGGCCAGCAGAGTGCATGCGTGCCAGTGTGAGGGCCAGCAGAGTGCATGCGTGCCAGTGTGAGGGCCAGCAGAGTGCATGCGTGCCAGTGTGAGGGCCAGCAGAGTGCATGCGTGCCAGTGTGAGGGCCAGCAGAGTGCATGCGTGCCAGTGTGAGGGCCAGCAGAGTGCATGCGTGCCAGTGTGAGGGCCAGCAGAGTGCATGCGTGCCAGTGTGAGGGCCAGCAGAGTGCATGCGTGCCAGTGTGAGGGCCAGCAGAGTGCATGCGTGCCAGTGTGAGGGCCAGCAGAGTGCATGCGTGCCAGTGTGAGGGCCAGCAGAGTGCATGCGTGCCAGTGTGAGGGCCAGCAGAGTGCATGCGTGCCAGTGTGAGGGCCAGCAGAGTGCATGCGTGCCAGTGTGAGGGCCAGCAGAGTGCATGCGTGCCAGTGTGAGGGCCAGCAGAGTGCATGCGTGCCAGTGTGAGGGCCAGCAGAGTGCATGCGTGCCAGTGTGAGGGCCAGCAGAGTGCATGCGTGCCAGTGTGAGGGCCAGCAGAGTGCATGCGTGCCAGTGTGAGGGCCAGCAGAGTGCATGCGTGCCAGTGTGAGGGCCAGCAGAGTGCATGCGTGCCAGTGTGAGGGCCAGCAGAGTGCATGCGTGCCAGTGTGAGGGCCAGCAGAGTGCATGCGTGCCAGTGTGAGGGCCAGCAGAGTGCATGCGTGCCAGTGTGAGGGCCAGCAGAGTGCATGCGTGCCAGTGTGAGGGCCAGCAGAGTGCATGCGTGCCAGTGTGAGGGCCAGCAGAGTGCATGCGTGCCAGTGTGAGGGCCAGCAGAGTGCATGCGTGCCAGTGTGAGGGCCAGCAGAGTGCATGCGTGCCAGTGTGAGGGCCAGCAGAGTGCATGCGTGCCAGTGTGAGGGCCAGCAGAGTGCATGCGTGCCAGTGTGAGGGCCAGCAGAGTGCATGCGTGCCAGTGTGAGGGCCAGCAGAGTGCATGCGTGCCAGTGTGAGGGCCAGCAGAGTGCATGCGTGCCAGTGTGAGGGCCAGCAGAGTGCATGCGTGCCAGTGTGAGGGCCAGCAGAGTGCATGCGTGCCAGTGTGAGGGCCAGCAGAGTGCATGCGTGCCAGTGTGAGGGCCAGCAGAGTGCATGCGTGCCAGTGTGAGGGCCAGCAGAGTGCATGCGTGCCAGTGTGAGGGCCAGCAGAGTGCATGCGTGCCAGTGTGAGGGCCAGCAGAGTGCATGCGTGCCAGTGCTCTCCGGTAGAGTGCTTGGCGTGGTTGGGTTGCTCTGTAAGCACCTGGGAGCATGGGGACGAGTTTGAGCAACAAGGGCGAATAATGAGAGAGAGGGGACGAGTTGGAGCTGTCCCATGGCAACTAATGGGAGTGAATGGGGACGAGCTGTAACATGGCAAAACTTCGCTCCCATTCAACCCAGAAAACTACACCCAGCGTACTCCATCTCACCTTTTGAATGCGGGCACATACTTCGCTCCCTCCCCTTCATCCTCAACTACATCCCACGCATCTTACCTTGTCCGCCCATTCTATAGCCCGTGCATACTTCCCCATGTCATGCTGACACGCTGCTGGTGTGGCATCACGCCAGCAAGCCACGGTGACATGCTGAGGGCATCTTACCTTGTCCGCCCATTCTATGGCCCGTGCATACTCCGCCATGCCATGCTGACATGCCGCCACGTTCAGCTGCAGAGCGGTCTGCAGGGATGGGCCGTGTAGTTGGGGGGAGGAGGGGGAGGGGAGAAGGGACGGCTTAGTGTCCATGCTGCCCCATCCAACACACATCCCACTGCCCCCACTGCACTGCCCCAACCTGCCGGCACTATCCCATTTTCACCTCCCCCCACGTCCCCCCTGCCCCCGCATCCTCCCTGCCGCCCATTCCCCCTGTCGCCTGCCACCCGCTCCCCCAATCACGTCACCTGCACGGTGTTGAACTGCTTTGAATCCTCGCCCTCCTTGGGGTGCACGTGCCGCATCTCCCTCACCTGCTCCACAATGACCACCCCCTCTCCACACCCTCCCCCCTCTCTCACCTGCACGGTGTTGAACTGCTTCGCCTCCTCGCCCTCCTTGGGATGCAAATGCCCCCTTCCCCTTCACCAACCCCACCTGCTCCACACTCTCCCCCCCCTCTCCACACCCTCCCCCCTCTCTCACCTGCACGGTGTTGAACTGCTTTGCCTCCTCGCCCTCCTTGGGATGCACATGCCTCATCTCCCTCAGCAGCTGCTCAACAAACGAATGGTACCAAGTGGTGGAGAGTGGTGCAAGGCATAAAGCTTTGGTGCAACGCACCTCCCCGACAGACTCAAAAGGCCACTCAAAAGAGCCAGCAGCCTCAGCCGCAAACTTAGGAGCGAGTTTTTGAAACGCCTCGCCTCGAAGAAACGAGCGGTTTGGTGCAAGCAAAGCAGTGCAACAGCCAACGGAGTCAAAAGGCCACGCTAGAATAGCCAACAGTCTACGCTGCATTACTACGAGTGGACGGCAGCGTGTACGGCACACGTTGGTCGTCTTTGAAAATTCTCAAAAATGACTCCAAAGCAGCCTATGCTGCATCGCCACAAGTGCAAGGCAGCATGTACAGCGGATTGGACCTTACCCTTTCATACTTGCTGCATGCGTGGCTATATTTCTTCTCCTTGTACAGCGTATTCCCCTGCAGGCAGTGAGATGGGACGTGGTGGGACGTGGTGGGACGTTGTGGGACGGGATGGGATGGGATGGGATGGGATGAGATGGGATGGGATGGGATGGGATGGGATGGGATGGGATGGGATGGGATGGGATGGGATGGGATGGGATGGGATGGGATGGGATGGGATGGGATGGGATGGGATGGGATGGGATGGGATGGGATGGGATGGGATGGGACGTGGTGGGACGGGATGGGATGGGATGAACATGATGGTTCCATCAAGTCAACATTGAAACCCCACGGGTCAAGCACAGAACAAGGCACACACCATAGCAGTTTGAACCAGTCGCAACCAGCTGCTTGCCACCCTAAAGTGAACCCTAAAGTGAACTCTAAAGTGAACCCTAAAGTGAACCCTAAAGTGAACCCTAAAGTGAACCCTAAAGTGAACCCTAAACTGAACCCTAAAGTGAACCCTAAAGTGAACCCTAAAGTGAACCCTAAAGTGAACCCTAAAGTGAACCCCAAGACCAGTGGTATTCCATACCAACTGCTTGGTTTTGTCAATTTCAGCGAGAATCTCTTCAAACGACAGCCCCTCCCAGCCCTGCTCTCACAGCCACGGAAACAGGGTAGGGGTTTGGGGTATAATGTTGGGGGTTAAAGGTTTAGGGTGTGGGAGGATGATCTAGTAGTGTGCACACAACCCTTTTCTATTCAGCAAGAATCTCTTCAAACGACAGCCCCTCCCAGCCCTGCTCTCACAGCCACGGAAACAGGGTAGGGGTTTGGGGTATGGTATGGAGTTGGGGGTTGGAGGTTTAGGGTGTGGGATGGGAGGATCAACTAGAAAAGCGTGCACAAACCATGGCAGCACAGCGGGAATCTCTTGAAACAACAGCCCCTCCTAGCCCTGATCTCACAGCCATGGGGGTGGGAAGGAGAGGGGGAGACGAAAAGAGGAGAGAGAGCGGGAAACGGGAGGAGGAGGAAAGCGAAAGTGGGGGGTCATGGGAAGAGAGAAGAAAGAATGGGAAGAGAGAAGAAAGAGGGGAAAGAACGGAAAGAGGGGAAAGAACGGAAAGAGGGGAAAGAACGGAAAGAGGGGAAAGAACGGAAAGAGGGGAACGGAGAGGTCGAACGCGAAAAAAACAGCTCACTTTGATTCTCTTCAGACCTTGGCTCGAATACATTGGCTCACCTTGGGCAGCTCGAATCCAAACAGCTCCACCTCCCACTGCACCCTCGCACACCCAACCAGACCCAACCGTTCAAGTGGAAGGGCTCACCTGGGCCGCTCGAATCCAAACAGCTCGACCTCCCACTGCACCATTGCTCCCTCTCATGACTGAAGAAAGCCCACTCGCTCCACCTGCTGCCACCCATGCACCCTACCGGTACTCATCCATGCACCACACCTTGCCCTGCCACCACTCATGCATGCACCACACCTTGCCCTGCCACCACTCATGCATGCACCACACCTTGCCCTGCCACCACTCATGCATGCACCACACCTTGCCCTGCCACCACTCATGCATGCACTCACCTTGGGCCGCTCGAAGCCAAACAGCTCCACCTTCCACTGCACCCTCGCACCCCCAACCAGACCCAACCAGACCCAACCGTTCAAGTGGAAGGGCTCACCTTGGGCCGCTCGAAGCCAAACAGCTCCACCTCCCACTGCACCCTCGCTCCCGCCGGTACCCCTTCTGGCCTGATGTGTTGAGACGCCATGGCATGAAATGGGATGGGTTGGGATGGGTCGGGATGGGGTAAGATGGGGTGAGATGGCATTGGATGGCGTGGGATGGGATAGGATGGGATGGCATGGCGTGTGCACGGGTGCTGCTTGTTCCCAAAGCAGGACAGCAACACCAGCTTGACTTCCGGCAATGCAGACGCCACACAAGTGCCTGCCTACACGCCAGGCTCGACACAGGGGGGCGAGCAATCGTGCTAGCAAAGCAATGACCCTAGCACACTGAACTCGACTTGACTGGACACAGGGCTGTATTCGACTGCACACTCGACTGCACACTGAGTCTGCAGGAATGCTAGCATGCACGCAAGCAAGCAACCATACCATGCTAGCAACTACATGCTAGAAGCCTCACTCAGTTACATTTCAGGGAACGAGACATACGTGTATTGCACAGCGCTGCCATGCAAACCCTGTTTTGAGACGTCTCAAAATAAAACACTTCTTCAAATGCATTTCAGGGAACGAGACATACGCGTATTGCACAGCGCTGCCATGCAAGCCCCCTCACCTGGGGAAGGAAGGAGTCATAGGCGTATTGCGCCGTGCTCGAGACCAGCACCACCTCTGCCAGTGAGCACTAAGTGTATGATGAGATTCAGCGAGGCCAGTGCCTCTGCCAGCACTGTGCCATGCTGTCTAGCTAGGCAGCCAGCCCCCTCACCTGGGGAAGGAGTCATAGGCGTATTGCGCCGTGCTCGAGACCAGCGCCACCTCTCCCGGCAGCATCAGGCGAATGCTCGCCTCCAGCGCCTCTGGCAGCTGTAGTGAGGGGCGGGGAGAGAGTAGGAGGGAGAGGGAAGGGAGGCGTGAGCAAGCGGGAGGGAGGGCGTGCAGGAGAAGAGCTTTGAGGAAACTCATTGGAGGAATGCTAGCCTTTCGGGACAAGAGAGGGCAGCGTGAAAGGGATGCTTTGGGGTGCAACAAGGATTGCCTCCACATCCTGGGCCTTTGGAACGCCCAGGAGGCAATCCTTGTTAAGCTTAAAGGTGGTAAATTGACTGCTTGATCTGCTGCCTTTCCACAAACCCTCCCCTCCCACTCACCCTCCCCTCCCCTGTGCCGATCTGCACAGGTTGCCCCTCGCCCTCGCTCCCTTTGCGTGTGTCCATGAATTCAGCCCCGCCCTGATCTGGCAGTGTGCCGCGCATGTGCACGTGCACCACACAGTCCTGCAGCGGACAGTCCATGGGGAAGTCGCCTGGCGGGAAGGGAGCATGGGGTTGAACAAACGGAGGATAGAAAGGGATAGAGCAGGGAGCAGTGGCGCGAGGCACTGGGTCAGTGGGAGGGCAGCCCAGGGGGAAGTGGGTTGGGAGTGTGGACATGACGGGTCGGGTACTGTTGCAAGTAGTTTAGGTTTTTTTTGTTTTGTTTTTGAGGGGTTTGACGGGTTGGGCACGAGGTTTTGTGAGCTGACCATTGGATTTGAGCAAGGACCTCGTCCTATTGAGAAACGCATCAGCCTCACCTGTCCCATCTTGAAGCCTTCTCTTGATCACACACCCGTTGCCCAGCACGTCTCGCACCTGCATGCATGCACACATGCACACATGCACACATGCAGACATGCACACAAGCACACATGCACACATGCAAACAAGCATGCAAACGAGCACACATGCACACATGCAAACAAGCATGCAAACAAGCACACATGCACACATGCACACATGCACACATGCACACATGCACACATGCACACATGCAAACAAGCATGCACACAAGCACACATGCACACATGCAAACAAGCATGCAAACAAGCACACATGCACACATGCAAACAAGCATGCAAACAAGCACACATGCACACATGCAAACATGCAAACAAGCATGCAAACAAGCACACATGCACACAAGCATGCGTGGACACATGCACACACACATGAAAAAGCTCCATACTGTTCAGCTCAAAATGACATGGTAGGGCGCGGCACATCACGTGCAGAAAACCATACACGGGGAGACCATGCATGTTGGATATATTTCAACAGCAACTCCAACATAGGTGACATACCGCGCAAGACACCCCCACCTGCACCATCTTCACCGGCTGCACATGATACTCCACATCCACCACCCCCTCTGGTGCAGATGACTGATGAGTCAACTACAGATCCACTCATCTATACCATCACAGCCACGCCCCTCACTAACTTCACCCCTCCTCTCCTCCCCACCTGCACCATCTTCACCGGCTGCACATGATACTCCACATCCGCCACCCCCTCTGGCGCAGGTGAAGTTCAAGTGCACTCATATCCGCACCATCACACCCCCCCATCACACCCCCCCATCACACCCCCCCATCACACCCCCCCATCACACCCCCCCATCACACCCCCCCATCACCAACCCCCCCCCCCCCCCCCCCCGCCCACCTGCACGATCTTCACCAGCTGCACATGATAAGCCATGTCCACCACCCCCTTTGGTGGCTCCGACCTTTGACTCAACTCAACCACCACACCCCCCTCACCTGTCCTATCGTCACACTCCCCCCCACCCACCTGCACGATCTTCACCAGCTGCACATGATATTCCACATCCACCACCCCCTCTGGTGGCGCCGGCACCACAACCACCGGAGCAGCCAGCCCGAGCCTCCCAGCCTCGACACTCCCAGCCTCAGCCTCGGCACTCCTAGCGTCAGGCTCGGCAGTTCCCGGAGCAGGGGCAATGGCAGGAGGAGGTGGAGGGAGAGGGGTGTCAGGCGCAGGAGGGATGGTGTGGGGGGAGGAGGCAAAGACGACGGCCTTCTCCCCTGTGAGCATGTGGGAGAGAGCGAGATCGAGCGCTGGCGGGAGCTGGGGGAACAAGGGGAGGGGAGGATGGAGGAAAAGCAGGGGGGAGGATGAGCGGACGGGGCGGATGGGCTGTACGAGGCACATGGTGTGGGGGGCGGAGGCAAAGACGACGGCCTTCTCCCCTGTGAGCATGTGCGAGAGAGCGAGATCGAGCGCTGGCGGGAGCTGGGGGAACAAGGGGAGGGGAGGATGAAGGAAAAGCAGAGAGGTGAACAAGCGTACGAGGCACATGGGGGATGTGGGGGGAGGAGGCAAAGACGACGGCCTTCTCCCCTGCGAGTATATGCGAGAGAGTGAGATCGAGTGCTGGGGGCAGCTGGGGAAACACGGGGAACAAGGGGAGGGGAGGGCCAAGGAAAGGCAGGGGGAGAGATGAGTGGGTGGGGCAATGCGTATGTGTCGGGGGGGAGGGAGGCATACGACATACGACCACCTTTTCCCCTGTGCGCATGTGGGAGAGAGCGAGGTCCAGTGGTGGGGGGAGCTGGGGAAAGGGGAACAAGGGGAGGGGAGGATGAAAAGAACAGAGAGAGAGAGGGAAATGGACCATTCGAGGAAATGGACGGATGGAGCAAATGAGGGACGGGTGTGGAGGGAGGAGACCAAGACGACCGCCTTTTCCCCTGCAACCATGTGAGAGAGGGCTGGATCGAATTCTGGGGGGAGCTGGGGCAAACAAGGGGAGGGAAGGAGCCTGTGTTTGAGTCGACTCAAAGGAAGGAGCCTGTGTTTGAGTCGACTCAAAGGAAGGAGCCTGTGTTTGAGTCGACTCAAAGGAAGGAGCCTGTGTTTGAGTCGACTCAAAGGAAGGAGCCTGTGTTTGAGTCGACTCAAAGGAAGGAGCCTGTGTTTGAGTCGACTCAAAGGAAGGAGCCTGTGTTTGAGTCGACTCAAAGGAAGGAGCCTGTGTTTGAGTCGACTCAAAGGAAGGAGCCTGTGTTTGAGTCGACTCAAAGGAAGGAGCCTGTGTTTGAGTCGACTCAAAGGAAGGAGCCTGTGTTTGAGTCGACTCAAAGGAAGGAGCCTGTGTTTGAGTCGACTCAAAGGAAGGAGCCTGTGTTTGAGTCGACTCAAGGGAAGGAGCCTGTGTTTGAGTCGACTAAAAGGAAGGAGCCTGTGTTTGAGTCGACTCAAGGGAAGGAGCCTGTGTTTGAGTCGACTCAAAGGAAGGAGCCTGTGTTTGAGTCGACTCAAAGGAAGGAGCCTGTGTTTGAGTCGACTCAAAGGAAGGAGCCTGTGTTTGAGTCGACTCAAAGGAAGGAGCCTGTGTTTGAGTCGACTCAAGGGAAGGAGCCTGTGTTTGAGTCGACTCAAAGAAAGGAGCCTGTGTTTGAGTCGACTCAAAGGAAGGAGCCTGTGTTTGAGTCGACTCAAAGGAAGGAGCCTGTGTTTGAGTCGACTCAAAGGAAGGAGCCTGTGTTTGAGTCGACTCAAAGGAAGGAGCCTGTGTTTGAGTCGACTCAAAGGAAGGAGCCTGTGTTTGAGTCGACTCAAAGGAAGGAGCCTGTGTTTGAGTCGACTCAAAGGAAGGAGCCTGTGTTTGAGTCGACTCAAGGGAAGGAGCCTGTGTTTGAGTCGACTCAAAGGAAGGAGCCTGTGTTTGAGTCGACTCAAGGGAAGGAGCCTGTGTTTGAGTCGACTCAAAGGAAGGAGCCTGTGTTTGAGTCGACTCAAAGGAAGGAGCCTGTGTTTGAGTCGACTCAAAGGAAGGAGCCTGTGTTTGAGTCGACTCAAAGGAAGGAGCCTGTGTTTGAGTCGACTCAAGGGAAGGAGCCTGTGTTTGAGTCGACTCAAAGAAAGGAGCCTGTGTTTGAGTCGACTCAAAGGAAGGAGCCTGTGTTTGAGTCGACTCAAAGGAAGGAGCCTGTGTTTGAGTCGACTCAAAGGAAGGAGCCTGTGTTTGAGTCGACTCAAAGGAAGGAGCCTGTGTTTGAGTCGACTCAAAGGAAGGAGCCTGTGTTTGAGTCGACTCAAAGGAAGGAGCTTGTGTTTGAGTCGACTCAAAGGAAGGAGCCTGTGTTTGAGTCGACTCAAAGGAAGGAGCCTGTGTTTGAGTCGACTCAAAGGAAGGAGCCTGTGTTTGAGTCGGCTCAAGGGAAGGAGCCTGTGTTTGAGTCGACTCAAAGGAAGGAGCCTGTGTTTGAGTCGACTCAAGGGAAGGAGCCTGTGTTTGAGTCGACTCAAAGGAAGGAGCCTGTGTTTGAGTCGACTCAAAGGAAGGAGCCTGTGTTTGAGTCGACTCAAAGGAAGGAGCCTGTGTTTGAGTCGACTCAAAGGAAGGAGCCTGTGTTTGAGTCGACTCAAGGGAAGGAGCCTGTGTTTGCGTCGACTCAAAGGAAGGAGCCTGTGTTTGAGTCGACTCAAAGGAAGGAGCCTGTGTTTGAGTCGACTCAAAGGAAGGAGCCTGTGTTTGAGTCGACTCAAAGGAAGGAGCCTGTGTTTGAGTCGACTCAAAGGAAGGAGCTTGTGCCTTCAACCTCCCTCCACCCTCCTCTCTCCCCACTCTTCTATCCCTATACCCTCTCCTGTCTCGTGACTTACCCACGCTGAGCCCAGAGCGAGGTGCAGGGGAGGGGAGGAGGCGGTGCCAGGCGCATAGAAGGGCGTTGACGAGCCCAGAGGGCGACCCTCCAGCCTGCCAGGCAGGGGCGAGGGCGCACATGGGGCAGACGGGGGAGATGGGGCAGATGGGGGGGAGGGGGCACATGGGGCAGACGGGGGAGATGGGGCAGATGGGGAAGATGGGCATGGAGATATGTGAGCGTGCATGCATGTATGTACATGCGCTTGCACATGCACATGCACAACGAATGTGCCTTGAATGGGCAGGGCAAGGCGAGGCAAGGCAAGGCAAGGCAAGGCAAGGCAAGGCAAGGCGGTACCTACCTGATCTTGACTTCATACGGCGGCCTCGGCTGCTCCCAACCTCTCCCCTCTTCAACCGTCTGATACAATCACAATCCGCAGGGGGCACACACAATGCAATCACGGAACACAGGGTGGAATGTGCGTCATTGAATGGTGCAATGATGACTCACAGCGGAGCGGCTCGAATCAAAGCTGCACAATCACATGTCGTGAATCCTCCTCTGCAGACTCTCATTCTCACTCTCCCATGTGTATCCCGCTGATTCTCCCTTATCTCCTTCCTTCCCTGCCACCGCTCTGCTGACCACAGGTTCAGCCCTTCTTCCTCCTGGTGTAGGTAATCACCCCGTCCTGTAATCCTCCTGATATCTCAGGCTTCCCATACAAGCAAAAAGCAACGAGTCTGAGCGCTACCCCAGTCTACATCCCCTCCTGCCTAGTTGCCTTGTCCCGCAAGCTACCTCTACCCCTAAGCGCGAGTCAGCTGAGCTGATCGCGTAGGCTTCAAGGTGCTAGCTGGGTCCCACTGGGCCCACTAGGCATGCACCGCCTTCCAGCCTGGTGAATGGCGAATTGAATTCCCATGCTGGCTGGAATCGAATTCGCCACCAACCTCCTCATCAACCTCCTCGAAATCCTCAGCAGCTCGACTCTGTATAGTACAGTAACCTTCCAAAGCAAGCACACAAAGTAAAAATGCGAAAAGCAGTAAACTATAGTACACCCTCACCTTGGCTGCTGCGAAATTCACACTTAGTTGCCGGCTAAGTGTTAATAACGCGACACACATGATGCCATCGGTGGTGAGGGGAATGCCTGTCAACAAGAAGCAGCAACGGGAGGGGCAAGCCTTTCATTCCCTCAACGGGAGGGGCAAGCCTTTCATTCCCTCAACGGGAGGGGCAAGCCTTTCATTCCCTCAACGGGAGGGGCAAGCCTTTCATTCCCTCAACGGGAGGGGCAAGCCTTTCATTCCCTCAACGGGAGGGGCAAGCCTTTCATTCCCTCAACGGGAGGGGCAAGCCTTTCATTCCCTCAACGGGAGGGGCAAGCCTTTCATTCCCTCAACACACAGCATCGGTGAGGCACTGCCTCTCATGCTTCATGCCTGTCAGGCAGGCTTCCTGTCAGGTCTGAGTTCCATTTGGTCACTACCCTCCCTCTGAACCAGAAACCGCATTACTCACCCTCCCTCTGAACCAGAAACCGCATTACTCACCACCTTGTTTTTGAATTGTGGCCTTTCCACGAGCCTCATTCTCCTTCGCCATGAGGCTCTTTCCCTCTGACCGCCACCCACCTGTTTCGTAATAAACCGCTCGCCTTCCCCATACCACGCTATCCTCCTCCTCTTCCTCCTCCTCGCCTCCCTCCTTCCTCCATGCAATAAAAAACTTGTTCTGAGACGTCTCAAAACACACCCACCTGTTTCGATTTGAGGCGCCTCAAAACTAGACTCCCTCCGTTCTCCATGCAATGATAAACTTGTTCTGAGACGTCTCAAACACACCCACCTGTTTCGTGATAAACCGTTCGTCTTCCTCATACCCACACACAACATCCTCCTCTTCCGCCTCCTTTCCCTCCTCCCCTTCTCCCTCTGCACCACCCTCCTTCTTCTCTCGCTTCCCCGCCAGCACCCACACAGCAGCAGCAGATACCACCTCCACCTCCAGCTGCAGCTCCTCATCCGCAGGCACGCCTGGGGGAGGCTTTATCTGGCAGGCAGGGTCGCTGTAGTGGGCTGAGGGCTCTGCTTTGAACTGCAGAATAGGGAACCCGGGGAAGCAGGGGTGGGGGGGAGAATTGGGTGAAAGGAAGAGAGAGAGCAGTAAGTGAAGGAAATAAGAGAGCTGGCGGCATCATTTGGGGGCAAGAGCGGAGATTCCATAGCATGTGCAAGGAGTTCGGTAGCATGTGCAAGGAGTTCGGTAGCATGTGCAAGGAGTTCGGTAGCATGTGCAAGGAGTTCGGTAGCATGTGCAAGGAGTTCGGTAGCATGTGCAAGGAGTTCGGTAGCATGTGCAAGGAGTTCGGTAGCATGTGCAAGGAGTTCGGTAGCATGTGCAAGGAGTTCGGTAGCATGTGCAAGGAGTTCGGTAGCATGTGCAAGGAGTTCGGTAGCATGTGCAAGGAGTTCGGTAGCATGTGCAAGGAGTTCGGTAGCATGTGCAAGGAGTTCGGTAGCATGTGCAAGGAGCAGTAAGTGAAGGATTCCATAGCATGTGCAAGGAGTTCGGATTGAGTGAATTCAAAAGCTCTCACTACCGCCACCTCCTTCCCCTCCTGTGAAAGGAAGTTGACTTTAGAGACGTCTTAAAAATCAACTTCTTCAACAGCGGAGATTCCAAAGCATGAGCTAGGAGTTCGGTATGAGTGAATTCATAACTTCCGCAACTACCAACTCGCCTGCACACCCCGTGCTTCCGCGCTGTCACCAGCTCAACACACTCGCAAAAGAAATACAAAATTTGTCTTTTGAAGCGCCTCAAGATTACGGAGTCAGGAATCTCACCACGGCCACCTCGCCCTCGCACATGGTACACAGCCCGTGCTCCAATGCTGCCGCCAGGTACATACATTCGAGTTGCCACCAGCTCGACATTGACGGGAATGGAAAGTCAACTCAAGAATAGCCACGTGTAGAGAGGGTGTTTGCTTTTGAGACGTCGCAAAAACACCCTCTCTACACATTGCCACCAGCTCGACATTGAAGGGAATGGAAAGTCAACTCAAGAATATGCAGTCAGGAATCTCACCAGTGCCACCTCGCCCTCCCGCATGGTGCACAGCCCGTGCTCCAATGCTGCCACCAGCCGGCTCTCCCCCACCACCACTCGCCGCGGCCGCCCCGACCCTGCTCACACAAGCATTCACGGGAGCGATGAGGTGAAGGTGGGCGATGAATGGGCAAAAATGGTATTACCCGGCATAACGGGCGTAGGTACTCGTAGGTAATCACTATTCACACCCCATGCCATACTCTCACTGTATGCCATACCTCCCACCCACTGCATGCCATACCTCACACCCCATGACATAGCTCATACCATGCCATATCGTGCCATCCCCAAACCCCAAGCCATATGTCATACCCCTGCCATACCGAACACCCCATGCCATACCTCACACCTCACGCCGTACCTCCATGTTCGGCTCGGGTGGAATCACATATGTGGCCCGAAGCCGCACGAGTGGTGCAGTGGAAAACCACCTGGAGGGCGGTGGGGCCACGACGAGGGGTGGGGGTTGAAGAATTGATGATCAGGACGGGAGGGTGGTGGTGGTGTGGGGGGGAGAACGGGAGGGCAGAAGCATAAGCTGCACGAGTGGTGCAGTGGAAAACCGCCTGGCGGGCGGTGGGGGCACAAGGGGTGGGGGTTGAAGAGGGGAAAGGGGGTGGAGGGGGGGACGAGAGAGGAGGAGAATCACTAAAATATTGGTGACACATGAAAGTACGTCAAAATTGCTGACCAGGACACGGCGGGTGGTGCGGGGGAAGAGAGGATGGTGAGAGGAGAGGGGGGGGGGGGAAGGCAATGATGGTCGGAACAAGATGGGTGGGGAGGGAAAGCATAAGCATGGTGAGTGGTGCAGTGGACAACGGGATGATGGGAGAAAACGGGTGGTGAGGAGGATTGGTAATTGATGGTGTCTTCTTTTCACAGAAGTTCCGATCCTTTGCAAATTACCGCCTTCATCACACCCTAAATATAGCCACGTGATAACATGTTGGTTCTGAGACGTCTCAGAATTGTTCACGAATTACCGCCATCATCACACGCGAAAAAAAATTAAGCGCCAGAATTGGAATCACTGGCTTCATCACTCCCACCAGCTGCTTCCCCTCACCTTACGTGACGCACCCCCCTGTGATCTCCTCTCACCGCCAATACTATTATTCGCGAATCAATAATTCATGTTACCTGGTGACCGTCCTCCACCGGCAATCCCGATCCTTCGCGAATCACAGCCTTCATCACCCCCTTTAGCTCCTTCTTCACTTTCTCCGTCCCGCCTTTCTTTTTCGCGCCCCGTTTCCCCCTCCCGCCACTTCCGGCCCCTTCCATCGTAGCCTGAAAATCGAACTAGTAACGCCTGCGATACTCAGATAGCTTCTGTGAGCACGTCGCGACACGGGTCGACGTCAGGTGACAATTTTGGTCGCGACTTTGACACGAATGGCGAATCTAGTTTCAGCCCTAATCGCGACGCGTCAATTGTCAGATGGCTTCTGTTAGCGCGTCGGATTCGACCTTTATCCCGTCAATCTAGTCTCCTCTTAGACTCAGATTCAGCCGTCTCATTGTTATTTACTCATTCCCAAGAGGTGCAACAGAAACTTAGGCCCACGCTAAAGCCTCAAGTGAAGTGCACCAAGTGATGCCTATTACCGCTTTGGAACGCAACAGACCAGGCACAACCGTTATTCGTGAAAGTGGAGACCAATCCCGTCACACCGTCACTGACGAAAGCAAATCAAGATTCCGCAGGGTGACAACGACAGCCAATGGTTGAGCAATCCGGGCGCGCGAAAAGTACACCACCGAAAGCACCCGACCCGACACCTTGGGAGCTTCGATTATTCGGGATGCTGACGTGAAAGATTAAGGTCCCGAAACCGAGATCTTTCTCACTACAAGCAATTCTCACTACAGGCAGGTTGGCCAGATATTTTCTACACCAGCCAAGCATCACAAGTTCTTTAGCCATGGAGATTATGCTTAGATGTGAGCTTTACACGTCCACTTGGAATATAAGGGACCATGCATGGCAAACAAAAAGCTAGGCAGAGCCAACTGGGTGATATTGGTGACAAGGCAGGGCAGGGCTGTTGGCTAGGCTGGCTAAATGATACCAGTCACCCTGCTTCGGCATCATGGACTGACAGCATCGCATTATCAGAAGAGCCATTTTCAGCTTAGTAGAAGAAGCCGAGCACCTTGCCTCCCACGTTCTTCCGCCTGGCCTCATCATGGTCCATGATGCCGCTAGACGTGGTGAGCACAATGTAACCAAACTGGTAACACGGGAAGGAAACACAACAACAGGGGCATAAAGAGGTCAGCAAGGGCACAAAAAACACAACCCAATGGAACGCGGTAGAACATCAGGCACAGACAAGCAACCAGGAACATGTGACACCCACAGTGAGGCTCCCAACGTGTTCCAGCGCCAAACAATGCGGAATCACCCATAAAGACCCTTTCCATCTGTTACCCCTCCCACCCTGCATTTCACTGCCAGACAGCATTTTATTTTCCATTTCCAACCTTCTCACCTCAACAGCATGGGAAACGCTTGACTTGCTGCTCACACTAGGCACACTAACCCCCCAAGTGAAAAACTCCTCTTAGACGCTAATCCTCCCACTCCTCGGACGAGGGCTACACGCACTTATTCTCCCCACCCGCCCCCCCCATTCTCCCCCCTTCTTTCCCCCCTCCTCTTCCATCTCCCTCCACTCGCCTCCTTCCCCCACAAACTGCTTATACTACTCAACACTTGTTGCATGCGCTCCATTATCAACGCATACACAACCGTACAGTCGTTACACTACCCCACTCAAGTTGCAATACCCACCTGACGGGAGGGCAGCAGGCGCTCGGTCCAGTTCTCAATATCGCCGACAGCGATATCGTAACGCGGGCTGATCACGCCGCACTTGTTCAGCCGTCCGTTCAGCTCCACGACAATCTTGCCCGCCCGCCTGTCGTCCACCAGCTCGAACTCGCCGATGTAACCTGGTAACCAGCATTCAGGGGCAAGGGGACAAGACGCACAGGGGAGGTAACGAAACATCATGTCTGGTAACTCTGCAAACACACGCACGAGAGTGGCTAAGAATCATAGGCTTCAGCACACCAAGCTCCCCATCTCCTTGCCTAAGTAACGAAGGATTCAACCAAGGCTGATTCCAAAACGACAGACTTGGTCCTGTCAAAGAAAGTGACGAGGTTTAGGAACAGAGAGTGCGAAGCTTTGAAGATACCGACATGATCGAGGCATCTCGCACGGCGATATTTGCGCGTCATGAGCTACGGGACCTACAAATGCTGTCTAAGCCTGGCGTGATCAAGCCTACCCTCACGAGCCAATCCCTAGAATAAGACCCTTAGAGCCTAACGAGCAGCAAATTCGAGGGGGACTAACGAAATTGTGTCCTCGCTGCTGGATGGAAGATCAACAGCTCTGATCGGCTGTCCTTGATCGGCTTGGTACAACGGGCAACAAAGACTTAGGCGCCTCAAAGATCGACTCGGAATAACGCCCCCCTCTGGTTTGTACGAAGAACCGCTTCCAGTCCAGACGAAGAGCGTTACTACTTTGCTAATAAATATGAGAAATCTGATTCTCTGCCTTAGGTCCGACTACTCTGTTGAAGACTCGTCTCTCCTCTGAACATCGCATGCTAGCTGGCATAATGCCGTGCGGAGATGGTCACGAACACTGGGGACGACGGACGACTGACTGCCTACAAGGCCTTTCGAGACGCCTCCAAAGAATGCCTACAAGGCCTCGCTCCTCGCCGGATGGAAACGTCTTGCTCAAACAAACATCGATACTGCGCAGCAGGTCGCTGTAGGAACGTTAGGTTTGAAGGCTTGATGAAGGAAAATAGACCGTGAGAAGCGGGAGATGAAAATCGCCGCACCTCGACAAGGGTATCGCAGAAAAAAACGAGCGAGCGCGCACACACCGTGTCGCTGCATGACGAATTTTACAGAAGGAATATGCAAGCACGAGCAGCACGCAGGGACGCACGCACAAGCACGCACAAGCACGCACGCACCGTGTCGCTGCATGACAGTGAGGAACTTGATGATGACCTTGGAGCTGGGGCGGATCAGCACCTGCCGCTTCCCGCGCTTCTCCGCGTTGTACATGCTCTTGAGCGCATCGTTAAGAACGCTAATTCTGACCATCTTGACTAAATGGCTCCTTGTCTAAGCAAGGCAGGGAGAGGCAGGCGCGGCGCAAATGCGGCTCCTGAGGAACGAGGAAAGGAAGAGCAGGAAAGAGAGAAATTGAGCGGCGAGGAGGAAATATGAATTAGGGTTTGGGCGGGATTAGCAGCGAGAGGCAGGAGAAAGACGGGAAGCAGGGGGAGGAAGGTGGGGGATGGCGCGGGGAGGTTGTGCGGGGCGGGGAGGGATGGCCCATGGGGAAGGGGGCAGGGCGCGGAGCTGGGATGGGGCCCGGAAGAGGAAAAGCCCCCACAGAGGTGAAACCGCACAGTGCGTTCGGACGGACCCTGTTTGATCTAGACTATTTCGTACACCCTATTCTATGAGTAGTTTCTACTGGTACGTGTGAAAATTAATCAGCTCCATAAATCACTTCAAAATTCTATATTCTAACTCTGCTATGCTCCATCCAATATGATACCTATCTTATACACCCCATCCTACAGTGCGCCTACCATTATTGCTTTATTATAAATAAACAGTGAAGTGTATTGCTGAGCACATGGTTAAGCATCTCCATCAGCAGCAGCATCTGAATCTGCGTCCCCATACTGAGACCTCACCCAACCAACAAATGCGTTCAGGAACTCTACAAATGTGCACACACCGTTGGAATCCCGGTCCATTTCCTCTGAAAAAGAAGAAAGTAAAAAAGGAAAACAAAAGCACATTCATTAGTTGCTGCTGTATGGTGGAGCACAGAGCAGGATACTGGGACGCAAGGTTTGAGCAAGAACGTACGCATGCGCATGGAGATGTTCCGAAGAAGCGTGCCCTCCTTGAGAGTGTTGTGGCTGCTAAAACCCTTTTCAATCTCTGCCCGCGTGAGCTGCCCATCATGGTCCTCGTCAAAATAAATGAATGCATCTACGATTATTTGAAAGGCAGCGTTAATGTCTCCTGTGCCAAGGCGTGGCTTCTGCTATAAGGAAAAGAGGTTGGAGAGGGGAGAGGGAAGGTAGGAGACAATGTCAGGTACAATAGTCCAGAATAGAGGTTGCGTCAGGCAGAAAAAGGCCTGTTGCGGAGCAGTAGGAGATGGAAGAGAGTGGGAGCTCGTACATGGCATAAGAGAAGCAGGAGAAGCAGGTATATTGATAGGGGGTGGAGATGTTTGGACGAAAGATGGAACGGGCTATGGAGTGTACAGAACAAGCCATACAAGTACCTTAGAGTTTTAACCATACCCACGGCAATGACCCCAGCCCAACCAGTTGCTTGAAGACCATGCTAAGCCTCTGGATGCATGCCACACATGCACACATACACCCACAGACCCACACATGCACACATACACCCACAGACCCACACATGCACACATACACCCACAAACCCACACATGCACACATGCACACACACATGCACACATACACTCACGCGTGCACACGTGCACCCACACGTGCACCTCACTCACTTTCTCACACACACATACGCACACAAACACACACACCTGATCGCTATCAGCCGACTCGAGCAAGAACACAATGCCCAGGCACAGCACGAACGCATTGAAGCACACCACTGTTGCCTCCTCTGCTGGAACAGAATCCGACCCTTCCCCATACGAAGTGTCCAACTCCGTCTGCTCGAATATGGCCTTCAGCTCCTCTTCGCTCACTGTCACCTGCGAATAGCAGTGGAACCAGATTGAATCTTGTCAGTTTGAATAAGAAAACTGAGTCGGCACTTACTCTGACTCTTCACCATACGAAGTGGCCAACTCCGTCTGCTCGAACATGGCTTTCAGCTCCTCTTCGCTCACTGTCACCTGTGATTGGCCGTGAGTGACCAGAGATTGATGGAAGTGTGAAACGAAAACGCATCAGAAATGTAGGTATGTATGCGGCATGCCACTGTCACTGCATACACTCTTTCGATCACTGCCATGCCATGGTGTCACCAGTCGTTCTTGATATGTAAGGGAAATAATGGACGCAAGGTTAATACACCATCTTACACACCACCTCTCACATACCTCACACACAATTCACGCACCACCATCAATTTCTGCAAGCACGAATCCAGACTCCGGTCAGGCTGAAGGTGGCCAAAAGGCTTCACACAGAAGAAGCTGAAATGAAGGTGGAAGGCAATTAAAATGCAGGCTTCCCTGGGTCCAATTACAATGTACATCCACTCTTGACAGTTTCTGACAATCCTGACGGATGTGCCACTTTCTGTCACTTCTGACCGAACTGAACGCACCTCCAGCTGCGCGAGCGCGGTCTTCAGCTCGTCCAACGTCATGCCTTCTTTGCCCTCGGGCACTGCACAACACGTGCATGCCATGCACGGCGGTGAGTCCAAGACGACGGAGAGAACGGGGATGACGGGGATGAGGAAGATTAGGCAGATGCGGAAGGTGACAGAAGTTTAGGAAAGGAGGCGGAAGGAGAATAAGCGAACAGATAGAACAAAGAGGCGACAAGGGAGGACTCCTTCCTGGAAATCGCGGGAACGCGAGTGCACAAGGGCTGTTAAACTGCGTGGTTGCAATATATTGATTACAAATAAAATAATGTACAACCTTAGCGCATCGCCCAAGCGTCCATTTGCGCGCACGCTGGACTTCTGAATGAACCTCACCCGCATTGTTCTCTACCTTCCTAGGCTCGCATCGGAACATGCTGATTCAGCGGAACATGTGTGAAACCACGCGACACCATGCGAAGCTAGTCTTCAGGTATTTTCAAAGACGAGAATTTTAACGGGCGCCTCAGAAGCGGAAAGCTTCAAGCCTCACGCGCCTGATGCGCCTGCTGCTCGTGATGCTCCTGACGCTTTAATTCGCCCAACGCGCCTGATGCGCTTACCGATTTTGTCGTACACTTCTCGGAGCAGCTCCAGCCCCGCGTTGATCCGCGGGAACTTGAGCACGAACGCGTCGAAGTTCTTCGGAACCTTCTTCACCGTCTTGTGTCTCGCCGCTAGCGCGTCCGTCATCCGCTTCTCCAGCCGCGCCGTCGATCGCGCGGAGTTCGACATGCTGACGTGGCCGCGCGTGTGTTCCGAACAGGATTCGTGGTCGTCGCGTCGCGTTGCGCGGGGTAAATTAAACGTGTCGAGCTGACTGATTAAGCAGGGTGACGCTCTAAAAAAAAATATTGTAGGATTATAAAAAAGGGTGATCGGTCACACGTTCTCGAAAAGCGCGGGATCGAAACGTAATATATCGTTCAGCGCGCTGTAGGAATTTGTCCCGACTCGACCTCCCCGGATCAGCCAGTCAGTCAGTGCGTGCCAGCAGGCTAGCCAGTCCAGGTCTACCTGGTAATTCTTGTGCAGAGCGATAGTGCACGTCCAAAGTCACCTTGTACGCTGTCACCTCGCTTACACAGCAGAGCTATTTGGCTTTGCACGCTTCGAAGCTCCTCGAAGTAGCACTGTAACCGCGAAGCAGTTCTAGCTTCTACTCCACACGCAACTGTTGTGGAGGAGATGATGGGATGGGAGCAACTCACCACCACCACTGAACCTCTTCTTCGCTCCTGTTCCACTTCGTACATCGAACAAGTGTGTACCTGGGAATATACCTCTCCACAAGAGCAACCTGAGAAGGTTTGGTGAGATTTTGTTCGGTTGAGGGCGGAGCGTATGGTTCTAGGACGGTAAGCTTCCCAGAGGCCAAACTGACCTACTGTGGCCGTGGCCTTCACAGGGCAAATTGCTATGGCGTGATACCGTCTTTCCTTTCTGCATGAAAGGTCTATGTGCCGGAACTACTCTATTTCGGTAAGACTGGAATCGTCGGAAGAACCAATTCCGATGTGAAAGTTTACGAACGTTTTCGTTACGGAATGTTCGGTATAAGACAAAATTTGCTGTGTCTCGCTTTCTGGGAAAGAAGGAACTCTTACGAAAGCTTTGTCAGGGTTCAAAGCGTAACCGAAGCTCATGCCCTGGAAACTCAGATGACGTCCTTCACTTGTCCTTTCCATCTTCGTCCACTGTAGATTGGTGCGTGGGAATTTGGGGAGCAGCTACAGTGACGGCACACCATACTCGTTATTACCATAACGAAGATACAATGATGCTTGTTCAAGCACGTCATGCACAGTGGGCCAGCCGTTCTTCTGTCATCTATGTGAAACATTACCTTGCGAGATGCGGGTTTCCAACTCCTACGTTTCAATTCATCTGCGTTCTTTGCGGTCTAATCCTCTTTATCACTTTTCTATGCGGTGAAGCGCAAATTTGACTGCTGTTGACAGACAGGTTACTGACAGATTTGACCGCTGGAAGCCCAGGAATTGCGGGACTTCAAAGCTGCTGACTTCATAACATAAGACGTGAAGGGGGGAGAAATCTACTGTTTTCGCGTGGTTATATAGGCTCCGTGCGCCAATTCGTGTTCGAGTCGCGTACGCTGGTCATGTTGTAATTATGAATCTTCAGTTCGATGACCGACAGCCTGTCGCACAATGCTCTCGCTGATCACCACTGATGGTGACATTATCAGAACCATGATCCAAGCAGATTAATTAACCAACCGGATCATTCTAATTCGTTTTCACTATGGCCAGCCGGATTCGCATGTTCCAAAGCCGTCAATCGGTCCGATTCAGGCATGTCGCGGTCAACGCAGTCAACGCAAGTATCCTGTTGCAGTTCATCTCCCTTTGGCTCCTAAGCGCGTCGAGCGCCGTATACGGACACAGATACGAGCGGGTACACGTGGCGCACAAGCGCCTGAGAGGCTCGGCAGCGTTGGATGAAGCAGCAGCGTTCGAGGAGTGGCAGGTGGACGCTTCCCGCGTCGTGCAGATCTCCATCCAGCCCCGGTAGGTTGCTTCTTGATAGGTTGTAAGGTAGACCCTGGCAGAGATCGATGGAGCAGCAGCGTCCGAGGGGTGGCAGGTGGACGATTCCCGCGTCGTGCAGGTCTCCATCCAGCCCCGGTAGGTTGCTTCTTGATAGGTTGTAAGGTAGACCCTGGCAGAGATCGATGGAGCAGCAGC